ATGTCCTTCTATTTCTTCTTTTAATAATGAACTCTAGCTTTTTCACAAAAACAGATTGTTCAACTAACTGGCCTATAGTTTCCTGCTTTCTATCTTTCTCCCTTCTTGAACAGGAGTATCAAGTTAATAGTTTTCCGAACTACAGATCCCTCCTGGAATCCAGTGAGTTCTAGAATATTTCAAACAATATCTCCAGCAATTCTGTAACTATTTCCTTTAATGCCCTTGATGCAAGCCATCAGGTCCTGGTGCTTTGTTTGCCTTTCATCCTATTATTTTGTCAAATACACTGATCCTCATGATTGAGATTGTTAGCTTTCATTGAATTGGTCTAATATATTTGCGATATTTCTGGTGTCTACCACTGTGAAGACCAATGAAAAGTATTGGTTTAAATTATAGAGTTATAGACCCATACAGCATAGAAACAGGCCTTTTGGCCCACCATGTTGATGCTGACCAACAAACACCAACTATCCTAATCCCATTTACCTGCACTTGGTACATAGCCTATGCTGCCCTGGTGTTTTAAGTGGTCATCCAGATGCTTCTTAAATGTTGTGAGAATATTTGCCTTCACCACCCTCTCAGACAGCATGTTCCATATTTTTACCACTTCTAGATGAAAAGGCTTTTCCTCAGATCTCCTGTAAACTACTTATTCCTCACCTTAAACATATACTGTCTGGTCTTAGAAACTTCTGCCATGGGAAAAAAAATTCTCATGATCTACTCTATCCATGCTGGTCATAATTTTGTATACTTCAATTAGATATCCCCTCAGTCTCCTCTGTTCCAAGGAAGATAAACCCAGCCTGCCATTATCTGCCAATTTCCCTGTTCCTTGTTATCAATTTCCCAGTTGCATTCTACAAAGGTCCCATGCTCATTTTAGCTACTCCTTTTTATATATCTGTAGAAGCTCTTTCTGTTTGCTTTCATATTTCCTGCCAATTTACTTTCATAGTTTTCTCTCTTTTTATTGGCTTTTTAGTCATCTACTTCTAGTTCCCAAAATTCCCAATCTTCTGGCCTACCACGTGTTTTACTGCTTTGCATGCCCTAGTTGTTGTTTGGATATTCTCCTTGAATGCATTTGTAAGTGATGGATGGTCCATACTTCTCATCAAGTCCTTCTTTTTGACCAAAATAATTTTTTTCTGACTGTTATAAAATATTAGCTTAAATATCTGTCACTTTTTATTTACTGGCCTTCCCATTAATCTATTTTCACTTTAGACACTCTTTCTTCATTTCTCTGTAAATGCCCTTGTTTAAGTTGAGGTCATTGGTTTGAGACCCAGAGTTGGTCTCCCTCAAATTGTTTCAGACGTTAGCAACTTATTTTATAGAACTTTATTTATCTCATCTCTGCATGAATCTGCCCATGGTGAAAAGTGGGTAAGTTGGCATGGTAGGTGACATGTTGGTGAGTAGGAAGTATGAGTTGGCACTAAGTTTGCATACAAGCTATAAAAGGACCACAAAGGGGAATGAAGGGCTATACCTTTGGCATAGAAGTAAAGGAGGCCACAGGGAGTAGGTAGAGGAATAGCCATCGAGGTCAATTGGGAGGCATACCTTGGGGTGGTTGGGGTCATGAAGTGGCATGGTTTGGTATAGATGAAACATACAGAGTGTGTGGAAGAATGAGGAGTTTGAGAGAGTGAGAGCTGGTGGTATGTTTAATGTGGTGAGTATTGCCAAACAAAAAGAGACCTAGGGGTGCGGGTGCATAATTCCTTGGAAGTGGAGTCACAGGTAGACAGGGTGGTGAAGAAGGAGTTTGGTATGCTTGCCTTCACTGGTCAGAACACAGAGTATAGGAGTTGGGATGTCATGTGCGGCTGTACAGGACATTAATGAGGCCAATTTGGAATACTGCATACAATTCTGGTTTCCCTTCTTTAGGAAAGATTTTGTTAAACTTGAGAGGGTGCAGAAAAGATTTATAAGGATGCTACTGGGACTGGAAGGTTTGAGTTACAGGACAGGCTGAATAGGCTGTGGCTATTTTCATTGGAGTGTCGGAGGCTGAGCGGTGACCTTACAGAAGTTTATAAAATCATGAGAGGCATCGATAGGGTGAATAGCCAAGTTTTTTTTTTACCCGGGGTAGCAGAGTCCAAAACTAGAGGGCATAGGTTTAAGGTGAGAGGGGAAAGATTTAAAAAGGACCTGAGGGGAAACTTTTTCATACAGAGGACAGTGTGTCTATTGAATGAGCTGCCAGAGGAAGTGGTGGAGGCTGGTACAATTACAACGTTTAAAAGGCATTTGGATGGATACCTGAATAGGAAGAGTTTAGAGGGATATGGGCCAAATTCTAGCAAATGAGATTGGGTCAGATTGGGATGTCTGGTTGGCGCAGATGAATTAGACTGAAGTGTCTGTTTCCATGCTGTATGACTCTACGAATCTGGGACTGTTCAAACTTCAGATACTGTGTCAGATCCCTGAGGCAGGCATTCCTGCAAGTCAGCCTCTGCATATGACTACATCTTCAGTTCCCCAATTTATAATTCAGCATCCACCCGCCCCAACCCCACACTTTCAGACCAACATACAGCTTACATACCAACATATAGGTTGGGCTTATAGATCTGGGATTTTATTTTTCCCTTCTCTGTGCACCCGCACAAGACTGAAAATCCAGGTCCCAAAGTTGCAGCCTTCCAAAGATATGCAGGTTAGGTGGATTGACCATGTGAAATTGCCACATAGTGTCTAGTGATATGCAGGTTAGTTGGATTAGCCACAGTAAAAGCAGGCTTATAGGGATAGGGTGGGGGCTGGTCTGGGTGGGATGCTCTTCAGAGGGTCAGTGCAGGACTCAAGGGGCCTAATGGCTTCTTTCCACACTGTAGAGATTCAAAGATTTCTAACTGAACATCAGTACAAAGGTTTGATCACATTTTTAGTATGACTGTGGAATAATTTAGGCATGTGGCCAACTTCAACACATTGTATCAGAACAAAGTGAGGATCATGAGGTATGTTCTGTCTGGTGTATTTCTGAAATGATACAAACCATGTGATGTCATTTTTTGGTTGAGTTACAATTATGGGATAGTCAATCCATTCTATAAAACCTCTTAAATACAATTAACAAGACTAGTATAAAAGTGCTCCAACCTACACAGACTTAAGGCTGCTTGTTTTAAGGCCCACTCAGATCCATATAGAGGTGAGTAGGTGTATAGCAGTTCCTCATCCCTATCCCATCATGGGCCATTTTCCCAGAAGGGGCTGGAGGGACTACTTTCCCACAAGCTGCAGGTAATCATTCCACCTTAAAGCATATGGGTCAAGAATCAACTGGAAGTTTCAGCATCTAAGTCCTGAGAAGCACATAGACAAAAATGTACCAACATCGTACTGGCTGCCCATTGAGTGGTCTAAGGATCAGAGGCCCACTCTGCCTGTCTGGTTTCACTTGCAGCTGCAGATCACCCCATAGGTATGTTCCCCCTACATGTTGTGGCCTGACTACTGAACTCATTACTTAAGTTCATGACAACTGTAGGGAGGGTACTTTTATCTTGGGGAGGCTTGTCCCTTACTTGAGAGTTCAGCTTCTGTTTCTATCAACTGGAGTGCCTCTTATTGGTTGCAGCTTCAGTGGTCCACATTGCTCAATATGAATTGGCTGGTTAACAACCTGAAGTCACAGATGAGTGACTGATTTCCAAAACCGCCACAGCTTTGAGCTAAAGCCAGGGTCCTGAGCTTGTAGTGACAATGCTGCTCTTGGAGTCAGAAATTGAGACCACCACCTGAATGATTCACTGCTACTGGAATTCTTTGGACCATTGGTATAGTCAAAATGTTTTGTTTGCAAATAAAAGAAAAGCTTTCCAGAACACACACCTAATAGAAAACTTGAATTGCAAAGCATGGCGACAGAGCATGAGAATCAGCAAGAATTGCACACAGCTTTGCTGGCTCTGTTTTTGCATGTGTACGAATAGATTTCTGAATTAAATTTCTCAGAGTCATGAGAGTCCCCGTGAAAGTCACACTCAAATAGAGCTCTAACACGTTCATGCAACATCTCTCACAGTTTACTTTGTTTACCCAGTTTACCAATACCACAGCTCCAAAGGCCAGTTTGTGGGAAAACATATGCAATATTTGAAACTGAAAGGGAGGGGAAGTGGGAGTGGGAGGTGGGGGCTGTGGCTTGAGAGGGTTGTGGGGTGAGAATTGAGCTCAGGGAATTTAATGATAACCCAGTAGCAGTTGGTAGGACCATTTGAAATGCTAATCTTTTACGGTTGGGCAGTGAGAGTTCAAGAAATGTTACTGGCAGTACCCTTTTGAATGAAAAACTCCTTTAAATTGGAGTTGGCATTCACATTTAGAGCTATCTAATTTAACTACTAATATATTTTTAAAAATCAGAAGGGCATGCAACATATATTCGGTTAGAGCTGCTTTTATTTGAACCAATGCAAACCCGAAAAAAAATTAAGGTTGATCAATTTTGCCTCAGTGGGCACCATGCAGAAAAACATCTGGCTCAGGCTGCAATCTTGCCTTAATCATTGCTATTAATAATTAAAAATTACCTCACACACACTCCAGGAAACCTACTGCTTACACTATGCAGACAAATAATCACAAACTACCACCCAATAAGAGTACAAATTGACAAGATCAATACACATTGCAATAACTTGAAGTCTTCAATTAAGTAGTCTTAGCCTTGACACATTTTCCTGCATTAATTGTATACTGAGGGTCTTCTCTTATCCTCCATCCCTCCCCCCATTTTAAGGCAAAGTTCCATCTGTTACATGTTGTGTGTGTGTGTGTGTGTGTGTGTGTGCGCTTGAGAGAGAGACTGGGATTCTAACAAACAACAAATTAAATAAGAAAACCTTTAAGACAAAGCAAAAATACAATGGAGCATTGTGAATATTGGGAAGTGCATCTGAAAAAAATTAAGGAACAAAGGAGGTTTAGATTAAACAAGTGTTCTCCCCTCTAATCCTCAGCATGAAGTCACCATGCTTGAGCGAGTATAGAGCTGTGAAAGGAAAGAGAACATCTAGAGATCCTACATTAAAACCGAACAGACAGGTCAGTTGACGACATTTACTTACTCTCTGCAAATAGCACAGCAAATGAACATTTATCCCAGAACAAAAAATACTCTTTAACTAGTATTGGATTCTGAAATATCCTCAGAACTCCAAATACTTAAAACAGTTGCCAGGTGAGTTTAGCTGCTTACAAGCCTCAGCAGAAATAAAAGGTAAGCACTCTGTGCATAACAGCTTAAACTCAAAGCAAGAGAGAGAGGGAAATTTGAGGACTCCTTTCTTACCTTGGAGATAGAATACAGTTAACTCTATGCCTGAGAAGCTTTCACTGTATTCTACTGTGTTCACAGACCAAACAGGCACTGGTCGCTGTCCCACTGGGAATTAACCATAACATTCCAGCCATGTCATTAGACAATGAGAGGTGAATTTTACAGTATGTAGAAGTCCTGGACCAAGAACTAATGATGTCATCTCTTCCTTATATGGGGCAACATTGTAGAATTTTACTTTGGTCAGTGAAGAGGTGGAGTTTTAGCTCTGAGTGCAAGGAACTAACAGAGGAATCCAGCTGGAACAAAGCTCAAATCCCAGGCTAGGCCAAATTTGTATTAGTGGATAGGGAGGTTTTTTGTCAAGGGAGAGAGGGGGTAAAAGGTGTGAACTTTGCATGTCTTTAACTTCATTCATGTCAAATCAAGGCAAGCGGTATGTAACCCTATTTAGTACTTTAAAAAGTATGATTTTTTGTTATTTGCTGCAGATGATTAAAAAGCCCACAAACTTGCAGCCCTGACAAATAAAAGATGGAACTTATTTAATTGCTTGATTTAATTTATTGATATGCTAATTGAGTACACATTTATCTTCTTTGCAATTGCTGTGTAATCTTTTATCCATCTCATCAAAATCCTTGCTTCCTAATTATTTGAAGCACAGTTTTTATCAGGCTGGTTTCACGCAGATTTTAAAAAAAACAGAATAAAAGAATCAACAGTGTCACAAGCACTGAGACAATTCTGAGGACTTTAATCTTTTAAAATAATGGCAAAAGTGTAAATACAAAGTGGTTTTCAAACAATTTCCTTTGGAGTGTAGGCAGAGTAGCTAACTAGCGTAAATACCCTTCAAAAGTAAATTAAGTGAATGACTCAATTTTTTTGGAAAGATTGTTGAGGGAGCAATGCCAACAAAGATACTTGGAGAACAATCCTGCATGTCCTTGAATAATACCATGGAAGCTTTCATGCCTAGGTTGAGGCAAATGGAATATAGCTTTAAGATGTCATCTGAAAGATTGCACCAGTCTTGTTGCACTGCACTGGATTGCAGGCCTAGATAATGGCCCAGCTTTTCACAGAGTTGAAAGAACTCAGGAGTCATTTAAAAACAGCAGACGGGACCTGCATTGGGAATTCTGGCTCTCATTCCTGGTGCCAAAAATTCCCGGTAGTGAGAGATGCAAATCATAGAATCCCTACAGTGTAGAAACAGGCCCTTCAGCCCAACAAGTCCACAGTGCCCCTTGCAGCATCCCACCCAGACCCAGCCCCCTATAACCCACACACCCCTGAACACTACGGGCAATTTAGCATGGCCAATCCATCTAGCCTGCACATCTTTGGACTGTGGGAGGAAACCAGAGCACCCGGAGGAAACCCACGCAGACATGGGGAGAATGTGCAAACTCCACACAGACAGTCGCCCGAGGGTGGAATCAAACCTGGGTCCCTGGTGCTGTGAGGCTGCAGTGCTAACCACTGAGCCACTGTGCCTCCCTATGATGTGGGTAGATGTGGTTAGTGAACCCATACTTCTGATCTGATTGGCTCCATAATGGGGGTTGTAATCTCCTAGACCCCCCGTGCAAGGTTCTTGGAGTTGGGTCAACTTCTCTATGATTTGTGGTTCATGGAACTTCAGCGGAGTTGTTATCCAGAGTTTGTATTCAGGTAGTTTGAAAGGCAAGGTCAAAAGACACACATGCACATATATGCATGCTCCACTCTGATTCAAGTCAACCCATGCTCCTCACCCACCTCCAAGGCCCTTCATAGCCTTTACCCCAAGTTGGTAAAAAGCCAGACTCATGTAAAAGGTTTATTTTTATTGTCAGAGGTGTAGAAAAGTGAAAACTTTACTTTAGGATGCTATAAAAATCACTTTTTTTCTGTGATCTTGTTTAATAATGACTCAAAGTTTATTTGCACAAGACAAAGGGATGTCAAGTTCTTACAGTTTCTGTATTTGATACTTAGAGTCTGGTTGATTGAGAAAATGGTGATGTAGTAACAGCAGCATTTTCTTATTACAATAGGGTTCATGGTTCTAGTATAGAGGGTTTACTGGATGAATGAGTATGAAAATATTATGAGTTGGCAAGGAGAATATGAAGGGCTATTGGTGTTGGGCAGGAGAACAATGAGGAGACTACGAAAGGCGTGGAGATGGCTTGGGCAGTGGGCAGAGTTTGATGGGAGTGAGGGTGTTAAGGACCTTAAATATAAGCAAACCCCTAAGTCTCACAGGACTAAGGTGAGCCACTTAATTAGATGCCTTGGCAGTCAGCAGTTCTTGTGCCCAATGCCGACCTGTTTCACGCTCCCAATCTCACCACTGCAGTTTAAACTTGGCTAAATGTGGAGTCCATAGCTTTCAACTAATTGCAATGTCTAATTAGCAGGAAATTGTTCAAAATGGCTGGGTTTTTTTAGGCAATGTAGAACCAATTTTTATTTTAGTGCGATCTGATTGCAACATTTAAGTAAATTGGGCCTGAACAGTTATAAGTATGCAGATAGCACAGTAAACATCTCTGACCTCCTCTCCTGATGCTCCCAGAATATCCTTGGCTCGGACAACATCAAGAATATTTGAAGCTCCCTGTGAGCATCGACATCAAAATAGGCACATCCTGAGCAACTGCTAGAGAATGGAGTAGGGAGTGCAGAACTGGGTTGACATGGTGGGCCCACTAGCACACAACCCTAATGTGGAGGCTCTGAAGCTAGTCAGCCCTCTTTATAGAAGCCCAATCCAAACAGTGACATTTAAACTTCCAAAGGCGTTTTGAGCCCTGACCCCTCACTGCTTACTTCTGCCCACTCAGATGTTCTTGGTGTTCAGATCACTGGGGAGGAGGTGATGTTTTTGTTTTATTTGCCATGTTCAGAGGATAGGATCTGGTTAAGATGAAACAATCATAAAGTGTTGGCCTGGGCAGAGATTTACAGAAATCTCTCTGCCTCATATTGCACCCATACACTATGATTGTACTGCTGATTCAGATGAAATATGAGGCTATGACATCAAGCCAACACTTTCGCAGCAAGACCTGGGCAACATTCAGACTTACACTGATAGGTCGTAACTAACTGCGTTGACAATCATATACCAGGCACATTAGGCAATGACCACTTCAAACAACAGACAATCTAAACCACTTTGCCTCAACATTAAATGGTGTACAATTGTTGGATCAGCCACTATCAAGTCAGTTGGTGTGTGTGTGCGCGTGTGTGTGTGACAGATCCTGATTCCCTGAAGAATTGGCATGGAGAGAGTGGGAGTGGGGCATGGCTAAGGCATTTTGCCCTTGCCTTTCAAAATCCTTCTATAACACACAAGTCAGGAGAGTGATCAAATAGTTCCATTTGCCTGGATAGGTGCAGCTCCAATAGCACGCAATAAGCTCATTACCATTCAGGACAAAGCTGCCTACTTGCTTAGTATCCCATCAACCAGTTTAAAAATTCACTTCCCCACCACAAGTGGCAACAGCTTGTACCATCTATAAAGTGCACTGCGGCAACTCACCAAAACTTCTTCAACACTTTTCAAAATCTATGACCTCCACTGCTTGGAAGGGCAAGTGCAAATGGGAACCCCACAACCTCCAAATTCCCTCCTAGCCACACATCATGATATGGAATTAGCCTCTTTCTCTCTTTCTTCCCTTTTCTTTTAAAATCAGAAGCTGAACTGACACCTGGAATATTAAACAAACAAAAACAGAAATTGATGGATAAACTCAGCGGGTCTGGCAACATCTGTAGAGAGAGAGCAGAGTTAATCTTTTGGATCCGGTGACCCTTCTGCAGAATCCTGGAATATTAACTCTAGATATTGGGTCATTTAAGGTCTGAACTTTGAGCAATGTGCCTAATTCCTTGCAGCTCTTAATCTGAATGGAAGCTTTTATCACCTTTCTAGAGATTGAGGGGCATAAAAAGTGCTTTAATGGCAGATTTTCTTCTGGTCCAAGTTTTCATGAGGAAAGTGTTAACCACATATTGAAAAAGCTGCTGTACAGTCATAAAACAGGACCCTGAACAAACTGACATCAATGTTATTTATTTACAGAGCATTACCTCATACGCTAATAAATCATCTCAGCCTTGGAAAAAGAGACAATCATTTTGTTTTTAAACACCTGAAAAATGAGGTAATGGTGTCAGAGTGAGTGTGATTAATCTATTGCACAGTGATATACCCTACGTGACAGAAACATAAACTGTCTCTCCCTTATTGTTAAAGGATTCCAAAGAATTTTCTTGCAGTCAATAAGAAAGTCTATTTAGGTGGGTCAGTTATGAAGATTAAGAAAAAGGTTCGGGAAATATTTATGAAATAAAAATTGAAAGCTGCTTAATTATCAGTATTCTCAGTAATTATCAGTATCAGTCCTGATGTATTTTGTCATTGTGCCTAAAAATAATACTTACATAGCCAAACTGATCTGCTCAAAAAAAGAGATAGTTCTATTATTAAGGCAGGTTGTTGAGTGAAGGTTCTGATAATATACTGTGGGTATTAGCCAATGACCAGGAAAGTGTTTTTTGTCTGAGGGGCATCTTCTCTATATAGGCTAAGAAGCAATAAACAAATGCACCAAAACAACAGATGATGGAGATCACAGCAGGTCAGACAGCATCCATGGAGAGAGAGCAAGCTAACGTTTCGAGTCTAGATGACTCTTCAACAGAGCTGAATTGAAGTGTGGAGAGTTTGCCTGCCACCATTTTGACAGCTTCAAGTTTCCTGGCCCTAACTGCCACCTGTTCACCACGGATGGCCAATCCTGCTGTACCTCCATTCCGCACCAGAATGTCCTGCGAGCTCTTGGTTTCTTCCTCGACCAGAGGCTTGAATACTCTCCATCCACCACCACTCTCCTCTGTTTCGCTGAACTTGTTCTTTCACTGAACAATTTCTCCTTTAATTCATCTCACTTCTGCCAAGTCAAAGGAGTGGCTATGGGCACCCAAATGGATCACTGTTATGCCTGTCTCTTTATGGGGTATGTGGAACAATCCTTGTTCCAGTCTTACACTGGCCCCTTCCCACAACTCTTTCTCGGTACATCAATGACTGCTTCAGTGCCACTTCATGCTCCCGCCAGGACCTTGAAAAATTTGTTCATTTTGGCTCCAATTTCCGCCCCTCTAAACCTTTCACATTGTCCATTTCCGACAGTTCCCTTCCTTTCCTTGACCGCGCTGTCTCCACTTTGGGGAATAAACTGTCCACTGCCGTCCACTACAAAGCCGTAGCTACCTTCACTACAGCTCTTCCCACCACATGTCCTGCAAGGATTTAATTCCATTCTCCCTGTCCTTTACCTATGTGGCATCTGTTCAGATGATGCCACCTTCCGAAACAACACTGCTGACATGGCTTCCTTCTTCCATAACCGTGGTTTCCCACCCACTGTGGTTGACAGGGCCCTCAACCGCATCTGATCTATCACCCGTGCTTCAGCCCTTGCTCCTTCCCATCACTCACAGCTGCGTGATCGGGTTCTTCTTGTCCCCACTTTTCATCCCACCAGCCTCCACATTCAATGAATCATTGTCGGCTATTTCAGACAACTCCAGCAGAACGCCACCACTAAACACATCTTCCTATCACTCCCCCGTCTGCATTTCGCGGGGATTGTTTCCTCCAGGGTACCCTAGTCCATTCCACGACCGCCAACACCAATCCCCTTTCCATGGCACCATCCCATGTAACCGCAGAAAGTGCAATACCTGCCCCTTCACCTTCTCCCTGCTCACCATCCAAGGGCCTAAACAGTCTTTCCAGGTGAAGCAGCATTTCACCTGTACCTCCTCCAGTCTTGTATACAGTATTTGCTGCACTCAATGTGGCCTTCTCTACATGTGAGAAACTAAATGCAGACTGGGTGACCGCTTTGCAGAACACCTCTGGTCTGTGCACAAACATGACCCCAACCTTCCCATAGCTGGTCATTTTAACACAGCGTCCTCCTCACATGCCCACTTGTCTGTCCTCGGCATGTTGCAGTGTTCCAATGAATCACAGCGCAAACTGGAGGAATGACATCTCATCTTCAGATCAGGCACCTTACAGCCTTCTGGACTTAAAATTGAGTTCAACACCTTAAAATTGTGAATCAGCTCCCATGTTTTCCCTTTCTTTTAGCTTTACTTGTTACATTCTCTGTTACCGTGTCCTTACCCCCCCTTCCCCCACCCCATGGGACTGTCTGTTCTTTCCAATCTTGCAGTTAGACACACTATTGTTCTGCTATTCTCACATTCCAATCACTTAATCTGAACTATCAACATACTTCGTTCACCAATGCCCTACACTCCACCACACTACTCCAACTATAGCATAAATGCTGCACCCTCCACACTTCACTTCAGCTCTGACGAAGAGTCATGTAGACTCGAAACATTAGCTTGCTCTCTCTCCATGAATGCTGTCTGACTCACTGTGATCTCCAGCATTTGTTGTTTTCAGTACAGATTCCAGTACCTGCAGTAATTTGCTCCTCAACAAATGCGCTAGTCCTGTTGCCATTATTCTTAAGGAAACAATGTAGTGGAAACAGATCCAGTAGTAACATTAAAAGCAGAACTGAATAAATACTTTTAAAAAATCAGAAAGATCAAAGGAGTAGAATTAATTAGATTGGTCTTCCAAAGTGCTGTACAGGTACAATGGGCCAAATGGCCTTCCAAAGTGTGTATCAGTTCGTGGCTTTCAGTGATCTTTCTTTACATGAAATTGCAGGATATTTGTCTTAGGAGGAATAATTAAAGTAGAACATGAGCTTGCCTTAATACATGTTTCTAGCAAGGATTGCTTGATAGACATGAAGAGCAGAGGCTTTCATTTCCCAAATCCAGAGCATTTGAGTCAATTGTGAATCATCTACAATGGCTGAGAGCAACAAAAAGAACAGAAGAAGAAATTGAGCCATCCTCATTGTACCAATGCCAGCCTGTTAATGATCACATCACATTGGCTAATGACTGCCTACATTGTTTGAGCCCAGGTTTTTTGGGATCCCCAGCTCGCTGGAGATTCAGAAGAAGCTGTGCATGAGGCTTCTCTTTGACCTCACATTGTTGGGAAATCCTCACCTTCAGTTCATTCTTAGAATCTTTACTCAACAGTTATAAAAATTGAGTAGATACATAAAATACACTACTGTGAAGAGCAGATAATATTGAATCAATTAACTCCTTTAAAATGAATTTAACAAACATCTGGTTAAGCATTAGACTGAAAGTTACACAAATAAACATAGATCACAAAGATTAGCGTTGATAAGCAATCTCACGTACACATCCAGCTCATTCTGATATTGTAAATGTTGAGTTCGAATTACAATCCCAACTGTTTTACAAATGTTTTTGGTATTCTCACTGCTGTTGCCCTATATAGGCAACCATTCAAAATATTAACCACTTATGACACGAAGTGTTTACTAACACAATTATTCTTTTTGTGTCGGTATCACTAACCTTGCTCTCACTCAAAGTTCATAGGCATGATTTTCATTATTGAGTCAAGAACCTGGGTTGGGCCAAAAACCTCTTCAATGCACTTTAATCATATCAGCAGCTCATAAAACTGTCAACTTAATGAAATTGACAGTCCCATTGAGAATTGTGGAAACAATCCCAATGGAACTAAATATATTGGTGGGAAATATATCATTAATATGATTCCATTGCAAAGCTGCCTAAATAAGCTGTCTAGACTGCAATACAATGATGACCTTGAAGTTGATTGAATAGATGGGTAGTCAAATCTTTTCAAATTTTCAACAGGTGGACTTTCGATAAAAGAAGTGAGTTTTTCCAGGCCTCAACAAAAGTCTGAACTATACATTGATATAAGAATCAATGATATAAAAATCAATGTATTAGGTCTTGATATGCTTTAATAGATTATAAGCAATACTGAATATGGAAGAACACTTTATCTACTGAAGGAAGTATCTTAATGCATCTAAAACAACACCACTCAATTTAATGGTCTCTTTTTTGGATGGAGACTTAAGATTATTTGCTGCATTATAAACACATATAACCTATCAGACAGCATATAATTATGGCGTTTGAAGTTTGAGAGATCTTTAAACTTACATGTCAAATGATTCCCCAACTGGAAAATTCACTATCCTTAAGGTTCATGAACTGACTGACTGTGCCTGTTTCACAAAGGTTCACAATCCCAACCATCTCACTGAGCATCTCAAATTTAGGAAAATTCAAGATGACAAAGGCATTTGAATACCTGTTGGGTCATAAACTGGCATGCTTCTCATACTAGTCAAATGGTAGCCAGTGGAAATTGACAGACAATTTTATATTTATATTCATTGCATATCCATTGTCAGTCACCTGCTGCAAGTTTGAAGTTCAATGGATTATGTTCAGGATAATTACCCTTTCCCGTTCTAGGACAGGGACTCAGGTAATTGTTAGTACCCTGATTGCCTTAATGCTGAAATCAGTTAACTCAATCTGGATCAGGGATTAAACTATTCAGCTTTGCTCCTATTTTATCTTATTCTAACTTTTAATTACCTTGTTTATTGTCTTCTTTAGATCTCTTAGCATGCAAATGAAGTACCTTTGAAAATACCTTGTTCCCAAACCTCGGAACTTAGCCAAAGCAATGATGAATGTGTATAGCACAGGTGTGGGTGCCTAGCCTTGACAAATGGACCATCCTTTATTTGTGCCCTGGCTGCAGGGAATTTGTTTGTGTTGTTGCATCGCTTTCTTATTTAGCTATTGTTGAGATTGAATGAGCAGTAGAATTTGGATTATTGCTTTGTATCACTCCTTAATCAATTTCCAGAATTCTCATATATACAAGTGTACAAATAAAGTAATTCTTAATTGCCTTTAATCATGAACCAGCGGTGTGAGTTTATTGGTATCACTGCTGTAACAGATTAAAATTTTGAAAGTTTATAAAACAATGTTTCTTTACCATTTTAAAGAAACTACGTGGCATTGACCCTTTAAATTTAAAGAAGAATTTAAACGACGATGAAGTGACAATTGTGATCAACTGTGGCTAATTTGTTCAGTCATCCTTGGCACGAGCAGGAACTCAAGGATTGTGGATCCAAGTGGCTCTCAATGTTAAACTCTTTACATCTTGCACCAAATATGGAATCTGCACCTACCATCAACTTGGAGAAATTTCAACTGCCATCAGGAAAAAAAAAGCAACACTTTGCATTTTTCTTTCAGCAACACACGATTTGTAATAACTTTAATTAAATACACCTTTCAATTAATCACAGCCATGTTGTCCAAGGCACGATGGTAGTGTTACATAATGCTTTCGAGCATATAGAGCCTGACATATGGAATTTCCTTTATGACTCTGATTTCTTACAGGTGCTGAGATGCTTTGTGCCAAATTGAATCCTTTACCTTTGAACATGGTTACACAGTATTGTCATGCAGCTGTGCTTTTGTAGTTGGATAATAAGCTACCATTCACCATGGTGCTGAATTATAAGTAGAACAGCAATTTTAATATTTGATTACAAAGTAATAAACAAGGTTTATAAGCCCTTTCTTTTGAAACAACCATAGAAACTTTGACCTTTTCTGAATCCAGAAAGCACTTGCTCAGGATCCCGTGACATTTGACAAAACCAAATGAGATTGTTCTGGAGACATAGTCAAAAGTTCACATGAAACTCTTTATGGGAACCAATAAAATGGTAAGCTCCCTCACAAGACCTAACTATACATTTCTGTCAATAAAAGATTGAGTAATTGAGATTGTGGCAACCATCTCACCAAAACGTACACATTGTTTATGTTGGAGCTACTTTGTCTTTAGTTAATTAAGGAACATTAGTACTGATAAATAGAACACTTTAACTTTTTGTGTCCAGTGTCAGCATCATGTATGCCCAGTTCAGGTAAAGCTGCAGTGTAAAGTTCCTTCTCTGCAGCCCTATTTTCCCTAATTCAAACCATAGAACAACAACTGTTAATGTGACATTTCCCACAGCAGCTAATTTGTAACCTTGCTGAGGGCATTAAAAAAATTGGATTTTGGACAGCATTTTGGTCTGGAATTGTATTCAATATTTTGAGAAGTCTTAATTGCATTTTACGTAAAACTTCTGCAGCAGAAAGGAGAGAACTAAAGTTTATCCTTTTTACTGGATGGAATCAAATTTAAAGACACAGAAGAAAGGATCATTTCAAACTACCTTACCATCTAGATTTTGTTATTTAGCAAGTTCAGTTACTAGTCCAACAATTTCAATTCTTTGTGCATTGGAATAGCAACAACACAATTGTACAAGGACTGGTTGACTATAATGGGCAATTATCGTAGTCATCCTGTTTGATATTTAAAGTCTCTGCTGTCTCTGTCACAAAACTGTAACTTCTCCCATTTGGAAGGATAGGGCTAAAAGATACATAGAAGTAATATCACCTTAAAGTTTTATGCCATATTGCACACTATCCTGACTTGTTCCTGCATTGTTGCTCCTTCCAAATACCTGGAATTCCCTACCCAACCAAAGCACCTTCACCACTTGGATTGTCACAAGTTCAAAAACAGTTAACAGCCACCTGCTCGGAACAATTAGGGAGCAGGCAATAAATTCTGGCCTTGCCAGTGATACTCAAATCCCAAGGATGAGTTTAGAAATGAATTCATGATGAAACAATGTATGGTATTTCTTTTCTCAAACAAATAAGAAGTGTTTTTCTAAACATATTTTCCCTTGGTCCTTCAATAACTCTGTTGAGCTCCTGCTTGTTCAGCGTTTTGCTGCCTTTTTCATATTGTATATGGTGCCACAGCTGTTTCTCCACATATTCTTCTGTTCCCTTTAATCAAGTCAGCCACAAACAGAAATACCCTCTGCTAAAGTGGGAGTTTGTTTTTAATACCTTGCAATTATATACATACCTGATGTAATGTTTGGCATTCATGCACATGGCCTGAACATGCATGATTAATTCGAAAGCATAACTGAGTTTTGATTGTTTTAAAATCCCACAGTTTCTTTGATGATTCTCTCCCCACAACATCTAATTATTTAATGGAGTGTTAAAATATTACAATTGGCTAGATCACAGAGCTTTGACTTCTTTTTTGTCATATCACAATGCAGATGTATGGATTCCATGATGTGAAACAATCAAGTTTTGTTACTTTAGTCTGTTAGAAGAAAATATTCAATTTATATAACATCGCATCCCAACTTCATATTGTCTGAAAATATTTAATTAATTGCTTTGAAGGTCAATCATTATCCTTGTGGAGGTAAATGCAGGGGGCAGTGTGAATACTGAAAGGTCGTACAAATTACAAATGCAACAATTAATGTTTGCATCCACTTAAATAAGCAAATGGGGCCTTGGTTTAACTATGTTATCAAAAAGGCACCAATCTCAATATTGCATGTAAATCAGTGACGGATCTGAACCAACCCATTCTTATCAGAGTATTAAAATTGGGATACAGTCCTATATCACTTTAGTTTGAGTCATGGTGCAATATCACTTTGCTTTTGAATAACATTTCACTTTCCTTATTTTCTCACTGCCTGCAACTCCAGATGTTTTTCAATTGTAATAATTTTTAATTTCTATCTCTCAAAAAAAATATGCAACATCTATTTCACAGCTCAAGGTTAAGTAATTTTTGATAAACTCTTGAAAATTTGCCTTGTGTTTCTTGACATTTACAAATTCTCTGGTTTGTATTCTCAAGTGCCTGTTCCTGTATTTGAATGGGTCATGTATAATTTCAAACTGCTCAGGATTTCAGATAGTTTTCCCTGGACCATTCTAATGTTAGTATTACAGAATACCTCGGTAATCCTGGGACTCCAGTGGGTATCTTTTATGTAACAGCAATGGGCTCTCTAAAGGTGTTGCTGGTGTCAGTTTGGCATGGTAAGACTCTCACTCCTGTGGTCATGATTGCAGAGAGGGTCTGCTGGTGGCCTCACTAATGTCTAACTAGTGCATTTTTGAAGGGCTTTCCCGAAGACAGGCACCCTGGGTCTCTCAGGGTCACTGGACCCTGAAGGGTCACCAGACCCGAAACGTTAACTTTGATTTTTTTCTTCACAGATGCTGCCAGACCTGCTGAGCTTTTCCAGCAACTTCGGTTTTTGACCCTGGGTCTCTCGCCAGTTCTCCAGCCCTGATGCTGCAAAAAATTCTGTCTGCTGTTTCTATTGCAGGAGAAGTAAATTTAACACAATCTTGTGAAAGCCAACACATCCATTTTAATTGAGCCTGTTTTTTTCAGGAAACTAATGGGATTGGATGCAGTGCTTATTTCAAACCCCACCAATTTTAATCCCTAATGAAGTCTGTAGTCAGGGAAATTCTAAATTTCTGAAATTGGGATATGCTGAAGAAATCAAGATTGTGGGATTGGTCCCATTGCACATGGGGTTTGAGGAGGGCTATGTGAGGTTCTAAGCAAAGGGGACTGGGCAGCCCACCCCAATGGTGGCTGCAGTCAGTGTTTCCAGTGGCACGAGGCAAGTGGGCACCCAAGGTGTGCCTGTACTGGCACCGACAGGCATTATCATGGCTTTCCTGGCAGGACCATTGTATGTTGCGCATCTTTGGAGTTGTAATGTTTGTATAATGTGTCACTTCTCACATTATAGAAACCTGCTTAGGATTGAAGTAATACTGTTTCTCTTCACGCCCTGTCAGTTACCTCTAATATTATTTGTTTGCTCAACCTCCAACTGTAAAAAGATAGTTTTTGCTTAAGTTGGGAGGCTTGATTATTGTTTCCTCCTCTGTTGTCCAATTCAATTGTTTGCATAATGTAGGCCAAACCTGGGCAAAGTATAATCACACTCAAGTTTCTAATTCATCCTGCGACATGCAACCGCACCAATTAACTAAGAAACTGACGCCAATGAATACGATTAGGTACCTATGAACCAAATTCACAGGTACAACTTTCCTGGCATCTGAACATTCATGGTCAGTATTTACAATGAAAATATAATGCGGGCTCTATGGAGAGCTCAGAGGAAGTATATTAAGGCCAAGAGAAGGTACTTTTCCTGGTATTTAGGACTTGGCCAATGATTGTTGGGGGTGGGGGGGGCAGAGTTGGCCTATTCGTGTGGAGCTGCCATATTAAAAGAAGTGTGCACATATGGAGAAACAGTGACAGAAGCACAAGGTAAAGCATTAATGTTTACTCATTACATTATGCCTGTTTGTTGGTGGATTTTTGTTTTGCAAATATAAACACCATGGACTTAATCTTACAATTTTTTTGGTTACGTGAGAGCTGAGCCATGTTTTTTGGAGGGCTTGTCATCATGAGGCCTCTCTCAGCATACCTTACCGAACTCACCTTCTTGATTAGCTGTCTGATCTCCAGCCAATCCTACAATCTGCTGTTCCAGGAAATCACCAGTCAGCGGATATCCTGGAATTCACCGACATTCCTTGTGCCATCTCTAAAAGCCTGTTATGTACCTGGACAAGCTGTGTCAGTATAGAGGTGCAGTGCCAAGGTGCTGATATTTGCCCCACACTTAGCATACAGGGGGAAATTGGCACCCTGCTTTGTAGGCAGGGTCCTGCATGTCCTTTTAGATAAGGTCGGGCAGGGGCAGGGGCAGGACTTCCTCTACCCTCTGCACAAAAAGTGGAAGCCACGACACTAGACCATGCCAGTCTGGTCAGAGTTTGCCACCTGGTTAAAGCAGTCACAGCCATCTTGCAGAATGGTCAACACTGTAGGAAGAAGTTCAATGTCCTACTCTGC